GGACTCCCGGGTCATGCCCTGGGCCGAAGGCAGGCGCTAAATCGCTGAGCCACCCAGGGATCCCTAAATTATTTGTTAAATGGATTAAGAATCTGTATGGGGCTCCTGGGTGGCTCAGTTGGTTAAGCGTCTGCCTTCAGTTCAGATCATTACCTCAGGGTCCTGGGATCCAGCCCCGTGTCAGGCTCCCTGCTCAGTGAAGAGTCTGCTTCTCTCTCTGCCCCTACCCCCTGCTTGTTCTCTCTCTCTCTCTCTCTCTCTCTCTCTCTCTCTCTCTCTCAAGTAAATAAAATCTTTAAAAAAAGAATCAGTGTGTTGTTAGCTTATAAGATCTCATTTACTATCCTATGCAAGAGCAGCTTCTGCCATATTTTTTCCTTCTAAGAAGTCTCTGAGATCTTCTCTCAGGCTTCTTTTCATAGCTTCATCTGCTAACACTACAGAGGTTTAAGGGATGGCATTCCATACATGCACTGTTTTATGTTCATTTTACCTGACAGCTAATGTCACTCAGGAGTTTCACAGGGAACTAATACAGAATATCAAGAAGATAAATTCTTTTTCTCTTTGTTCTTATAATGCTAAAGTGAATTATTTTGCAGTTCACTATGATAGTGATCATGTAGAATTTTTATTCATGTGCAGTTCTCAGTACATAAAAATCTTCTAACCCACCCTCAGTTGGATTAGAGTTCTGCCCTTAAACTACTCACTCTAATCTGGTTCACCTTATGACCAAGACTATACTTGCAAGATAGTTAACTGTGGTTAGTTAGGATATATTGGTGGACACAGAACAAAACAATACTAATTCACCCAGAGAGCATTTCAGTAGTGAAATATCATTAACACTACTGGCTGTGACTGTCAATCAATTGAGCCAATCAGCTGTAGACAAATATACACGTGTGTGTGCTTTTGAGGTGCCTGTTAGATGCTTGAAGGAAAGCAGGGAAAGAGGAAAATAAAATCAATATATGCTTACAAAAAATAGTTGTTCCTTTATGTTTTATAACAACTCCCTTTTACTTTAGTATTCCGTTCTCATAGACATCGTTATCCTCTCTGTAGGCAGTGAATTATTTTATCCCAATTTTACAACAAAGAAATCTAGAAGGCTTAATTTTTCCCAGAGTCATACAGCAAATTATCTAACTACAGGTAAAAGCTAGAACTTTTTATATTTCATAAGTACTTATGCCGGCCCCACCGTTAGGACATTTGGCTGAGAAAGCTCTGTAGTTGTTTTCTGGCTAGGCTAGGTATTCCTCCCACCCCATGGTACTAGCCATTAGACCCTATTTTGTAGGCATTCGGCTGATGGGATCAGTCTGCTTCTCCCTAAACTCAACCCTAACCCACCCCAGACCTACTCAGCACACACACATGTCTTCTAGGATTTTGCCATTGAAGGCCTCCGCACCCTCATGGTGGCCTACCGAGAATTGGATAATGCGTTCTTCCAGGCCTGGAGCAAGAGGCACAGTGAAGCCTGCCTGTCTTTGGAGAATCGGGAAGATAAGATATCAGATGTCTATGAAGAGATAGAAAAAGACTTAATGGTTAGTATGAGGAAGCCAGGCACAGATTGGGAGCAGGATGGGTAGTGGCAGTCAGTAGACTGAGCAAGGTCTCTGAGAATGGCTTGCAGAAAATCAATAGGTTCAGACTCTCTCTGGATGCAGGATATTGGCATCCAAGCTGATTCAGGATGTCCTGGATTTTTGAAATCCATATGGGGTGCGGTGCGGGGGAGGATAATGCACTAGTTGTAAATTTTATCCCAAAGCTGCTCACAGAAGCTAAGTAACCTGGGAGAAATGAGGATCTGAATAATGAATGCACAGATTAGATAATCCAGAATGAACTAAAAGAATAATCAAGACAAAAATACTCACTCATTCATTCAACATATGAATTAAGTGCTTATATGTTAAGTGCTTCCTATGTTCCAGCAACAGACAAAATAGGCAAAAAAGTAACACACATAGTATGTTAGATAATGAAAGTACTATGGTAGGAAATAAATCCAGGAAGAAAGCTAGGGAGAAAGCATCAGAAAGCTGATGTATCTGCATCAGCATATGCATGTATGTTTTGGAGAGGGCAGAGTATAGTTAGTATTTTTTTACAGGATGGTTAGTCTTCCTTTAGTCTGAGTAGAGACCTAAAGAAATAGGGAAAGGGCAGCCCCGGTGGCGCAGCAGTTTAGCGCCACTTGCAGCCCAGGGCATGATCCTGGAGACCCTGGATCGAGTCCCATGTCAGGCTCTCTGCATGGAGCCTGCTTCTCCCTCTGCCTGTATCTCTGCCTCTCTCTCTCTCTCTCTCTCTCTCTCTCTGTGTGTGTGTGTGTGTGTGTGTGTGTCTACGAATAAATAAATAAATAATCTTAAAAAAAAGAAATAGGGAAATAGTCTGGCAAACTAAGCAGACAGAAGAAATGGCATGAGTGAAAGACCTGAAACAGGAGTAAGCCTAACTAGTTGAACAGCAAGGCAGCTAGTGTGGCTGGCATGGTGTAAGTAAGGAGGAGCGAATAAAAGGACATGAGACAGAGAAGTAGTAGAGTGCCTTCATGAGCCAGTGTAAGATCTTACAATGAGATATGGAAAGCCACTGAAGAGTTCAACCAAAGAAGTGATGTGATATACATGCCTGGGTAGCTTAGGTGGTTAAGCATCTGCCTTTGGCTCAGGTCATGATCTCAGGATCCCGGGATCGAGCCCTATATTGTACTCTGTGGTATGTCAGCTTCTCCCTCTCCCTCTGTGATCCTCTTGCTCTTTTTCTCAAATAAATAAATAATTTTTTTTAAAAAAAAGTGATGTGATAGCTTTTTTCAAAATATTTTATTTATTTGAGAGAGAGAGAGTCAGTGCAAATAGGGGGAGGAACAGAGGGAGAGGGACAACCAGACTCTGAGTGCAGAGCCAGACACAGGGCTCAATCCCAGGACCCTGAGATCATGACCTGAGCCAAAACCAAGAGTCAGTCGCCTAACTGACTGAGCCACCCAGGCACTCCGATGAGTTAGCTTTTTAAAACAATCACTCTGGCTGCTGTGTTAAGATTATACTGTAGGGGAACAAGCACAGACCCAGGGAGACAAATTAGAAGATAGTTACAATAGTGCAGGTGAGAGATGATGATGGCTTGGACCAGATAGAAGTAGTGGAAGTGGTGAGGAGTAGTCAAATTCTGTACATTTTTTAAAGGTAGAGCCAACAGAATTTGCTAATGGATTAGATTATAGGATATGAGAGAGAGAAGTTAAAGATGACTCCAAAGATTCTGAGCAGACTGATACAGGCTGGATCTGCTATAAGAAGAGAAATAACTGATACCAAATGGGAAAACATAGAGATCCCAAATGTCAATCTCCTTTCATAATCAGTTCTGTGGTTAGTATTTCTAGTCTGTCCTTCTGGAGGCCTAGCAGAAATCAGCCAGTTATTTGTCCGTCAGTTCCTCAGACTGAGTCATGATGCCCATCCTGTGGTCAACACTGGAAGCCAAGAAGTATGCTGTGAATGAAGCAAGAAAGAAGTGAAAGTGTGTTGAGAAAAAGATTGTTTAGAAGTGGCACACAGCTTCATGTATGACTTGGGCAAGTCTTGTCCCTCTTTGACCCCTAATATTCTGTTTCTAAATTTGATTTATGTGGTTGAAAAGCTACAGTTATCGAGAGGCAGAATATGCTGAATTTTATACTATTTGGATCCTCATGTCAGGATAGAGCCAGCTTGCTAAAGAGGATGATAAGATGCCAGTCGAGTTGTTGGGTAGCACTAAATGCTGTGACATTCTTCCTTTTCCTCACTCACTGCTCTCTCTGTTCAAAGCTGTTAGGGGCCACAGCCATAGAAGACAAGCTGCAGGATGGTGTACCTGAGACAATCGCCACCCTGAACAAAGCCAAAATTAAAATTTGGGTCCTAACTGGAGATAAGCAAGGTAAAGGGGAGTTCTCACATGACCAATCCTCCTCCCTATCCACTTTAGCCATTTCTTTATTTTATATATTCTTTTCTTCTTAGCCATATATTTGACAAATACCTTATAACCCAGGTCAAGTTCTTACAGGACACCTTCCTTCCCAGTCTTGTACATGGTTTGCTAAGAGTACACTTTATACTGGATGCTGTATTAGGTATGAAGGACACAGAGATGATTCAATCAGACATGACCTCGTCATCCAGGAACCCATTTGCTAAAAACCTTGGGATTATCTCTGACTATACCCTCTCTGTTGTCCCAAAGATTAATTGTCTCACTGTGTCACACCAAATCTTCTGATGATCCCCTTGACTATGCCATCACCCTAGTTCATCCTTTGTCCCCATTGATTGTACTTTTGCAAAAACTTTTAAACTGATATCTGTCTCATTTCCTTATTGATTTCAATATAGCCTACATACAACCATCAGTTTAATCTTACTAAAATATACGACTTTTATATATTATTCCTCTGTCCAGGTATCTTCAGCAGCTCTATGTGGTAAAGTCAGATTCCACTGTCTGGTCTTCAAGATCTTAATAATCTGTTGCTGCCTACATATAGTTATCTCCATCCTGATGTGACTGTTATCTTTAGTGTGTCCCAAACAATCCAGCTTCTACTCCACAGCCTCTGTTTGGGTTGTTTCCCCTTTGAAATGTTTTTTCCTTCCCAAAACAAGTCTTACACATCCTTCAAAGTCTTTTTTCCAAGAAAGTTTCAATGACAATTGAAGTTTCTCCTCTGAATTTTGATACCACTTGCAGCAAGTCTTCAGGATTTAATTTTTGTAAATTTTTTCCTTAGTATGAATTTATTCAAATTTCAGAGTTCTCAATGTAAAGAAAAGACCGTAACAGAAACTTATCTCAGTCTGCCATAAAATCTGTCATAAAAACAGGCACAGGGAGATATATCCTGACTGTTTGGAGAAGTGGACACAGACTGGAATTGTTTTAGGAAATAAGGGAAGGCTCTGTTGGAAGGCTAAGCCAGAATGATGCTCACTTCAGGAGCACATATCCTGAAATTGGAATGATACAGAAAAGGTTAGCATGGCCTCTACACAAGGATGACATAAAAATTCATGAAAATGAATTTAAAAATGAAATAAAGGCTAAGCCAGAATGATCCTAGTTATTGATAAGTGACTCACAAGTCTGCACTAGGTTGACAGCCTCCTGTGTGTTTGAATATGGTCTCCACAGACTCATGAAAAATACATTTGGATACATCCATAACAAATGTGGACAAATGGGCTCTGCTGCCCACCATTAGTGCCTATATATGTGTACACTTTCATAAAGTCCCTGTCCTGGCCAAAATGTGATGTTTGTTCCCCATTTCCTGCAGAGACTGCTGTGAACATTGCTTATGCCTGTAACATATTTGAGGATGAAATGGATGGGATGTTTATTGTGGAAGGCAAGAATGATGAGACCATTCGGCAAGAACTCAGGTATAGGGACCTAAGACAATGGCAGTTCTCAGAAGGCAATTGAGTTTGAGGTCCTGGCTGATGTTTAGTAGAGGTTCTGTATCCACCTTGCCCATTTTCATTCTGGGACACTTTTTCCTTTCTAAAATCTGGAGCTTCCAGTCAGATATTAACCACTCCTCTTGGCTTTCAGGTCAGCAAGGGACAAGATGAAACCTGAGGCTCTACTGGAATCAGACCCAGTAAACATTTACCTCACCACGAAGTCCCAAATGTCCTTCAGATTACCTGAGGAGGTGCCCAATGGCAACTATGGCTTGATCATCAATGGCTGCAGTCTGGTGGGCAACACAGAGCTACAATTCTATCTTCTTCTCCCAAGGAGTTTTTTTCCTAGGTCCAGTCCACTCCAGGGAAATTTTAAGACCCCTTCTCTATTTCATGAGTCACCCCTTCCCCTCTCTTCTGGTGTTCTTTCCTGACAGACACCTTTCCCTATCCTTCTCTAGACAGGAATAATGAGGAAAGAGAAGCCAAAGGCATGTTCCTTCCTTATCCAAATTCTATTACTGATGTGGCCTGTCACTTAGGGGAAAGGGGGAAGTGAACAGAACCAGGTCCTCCAAAAAGGTCAGCTGGCCTTATAGCCCAATCAACTGATTTGACCTAGTGAGAGAGGCTGACTAGTTTCCCATTGGAGTCAGGGTCAGATGTAAGGATGCCTAGAACTGACTTGGGGACTTGGCCTCCCTTGGGAGTGGAGCACCTGGGAGCCACTATGTCTGACCTATATAGTATAGGAGAGAATGGAGATGGGGAAGGACTTAGGAAGATCCTGTCCTGAGAGCCTTTTTGGGCAACCTGAAATGTGGATGTATCCTGGTGCTGCAGGCCTATGCTCTAGAAGGGAACCTGGAGTTGGAACTGCTGAGAACAGCGTGCATGTGCAAGGGGGTGATCTGTTGCCGGATGACACCCCTTCAGAAGGCCCAGGTGGTAGAGCTGGTGAAGAGATACAAGAAGGTGGTGACACTGGCCATCGGGGATGGGGCCAATGACGTCAGCATGATCAAAGGCATGTGAGGGATGGGGAACAGTAACCTTCAACCAAGGGCTTGCCCTTTCCTTTCTCTATGGGCAAAGACAAACCTGGGTGACATTGTGTTGTTGGTTCACTCCTGCATATATGTATTGTATGTTTATAATATTTTGCACCTTCATTTATGCTCCTCTATACCTGCATTCCCACTTATTTACACATGCATATATCAGTCCATATGCACACACACACACACATTCAAATTCATGCACTTAACACACACAAATACAGATGGCTCCCATAAAATCATATGCATGTATTTACAGAACCGGATGTGCAACTACCATACCATCTTTCCAAGATGGCATCAAAGCCTACGTAAAGAACCCCTGGGTGGGAGTCACAGTCTGTTGCTTTTCTGATAGATGTATGCCTGAGCAATGTTAGGCAAAAGACAGGACTGCCCAACCAGAGAATTAGCTGTGAGGCACAGTGTAGGGATCTCTTCTTCCCTAAGGCAATGTTCATGAGTACTTCCCCTGACTCCCCTGACTGGAAGAGAATAGCAGACTTACTGATGCCCTGGACTAATAGAAGCAAATGGCTGACACTGGTTTTAATTTTAGCTGAATGTTGTTAGCTTCCAGCAACTTGTGGTTCTGTGAAATACGGACAACATCTAGAGGTCCTCTAATCTAGGTCTTCTAATATCTCCCCATCCAGGAAACACTAGCAGATATTCTAGCCTCAGCTTTAGTTCTAGAAAATGTTCTTGCTTTCTTCCCCACTTTCTAGAACTTCTCTGGTTTTTAGGGCCTTAGAGGCTTCAATTATTCCATTAAGCAATGCCACAGGTATATACCAGATCAATGAATGTACCCTACACTACAACATACTAATTAAAACTTTTAGGAACTTCAATCTTATTTTCCATCAAGTATAATCCTTGTTTTATTCAGAAAAGTCATTCAGAAAAGTGAGGCCTCCTGGAGAACTTGCTTCTCACTAACAAAGTATGAACATCACTTATTTCCTCCTAACAGTTGGATTTTAGCTCTTTAGATAAACTTAGGTAATTAAATATTATGTTAGATTGACATCCATCCTGCATCTATAATTGATGTAAATGGCTTCAAGAGATAACAAGAGGTTTTTACCTCAGCATCTGGACAGCAGGAAAGAGCCAAGGTGGCTATAGTAGGCACAAAGACCATCCAGGAGAGCTTTCTAGTACTAGCCATGCCAGGCATTCCTGAGTGGCAGCATCCAAAACAAAGTGAAGATGAAGGAGCTGGTTTTTGACAGTCCACTAGGGAAAAGAGCAATCCACTGAGGAGAAAAGGCTCCACTAAATAAATGCCATTTTGAGCTGAGCGTAACAGTGTTTTCCAAATGTAAAATAAGGAGTTTGTACAACATGATCTCAGCCTTTCTTTTACACTTCCCAGCCTGGGAGCCCAGCAGACTAGCTCTGAGGTTGAGAAGCTTCTGGGATTTCTTTTCAGCTGCTCACATTGGAGTTGGCATCAGTGGCCAGGAGGGAATGCAGGCCATGCTCAACAGTGACTACGCCTTCTCCCAGTTCCACTATCTTCAGCGTCTACTCTTGGTCCATGGCCGCTGGTCCTATAATCGCATGTGCAAGTTTCTCAGCTACTTCTTTTACAAAAACTTTGCCTTCACCCTGGTGCACTTCTGGTATGCCTTCTTCAGCGGGTTCTCTGCACAGGTAGGAGGTCAGATGGCATTCCCCACTCTGGTCAACTGGATCTTCTGTACTCACCCCCACTTCACCCAGCTCATGTTTCTTTTCTAGAGACATGTTGCCATCCATCCATAAAGCTCCTCACGTGGGGGCACCTGGGTGGCTCAGTTGGTTAAGCACAAAGCTCCTTACCCATGCTGATCCCATCTCCTAGCCTTAAACTGAACCTTAGATTTCCAAACCTTAACTTTTTCTGGCTTGGCTCTAACTTAGACTTGACTCTTACCTCCAAAACTCCCATGAGATATTTTGACCTTTTACCTGACAGAGAGACCTGGTTTCCAAAAATAGATAATATGGGGAAATGCTTGGATCTTGGAGGGTTTGTTTTTGTTTTTGTTTTGTTTTGTTTTGTATCCAAAGCAATCTTTATGGAACAGGCTAAGTCTCAAAGGGCTTCTGAGTCTTGCCAGACATGCTGGCTATGGTGTTCACCTGTAGCCATACTTCAGAATACAGCTCCCCTTACTTCTACTTCCCCACCCCAACAGCCCTTCTCCCTGCCCCAAATATACATTGTTGTCGCTCTAATGAGTTAACTCCACATCGAGTATGAAATCTCCTCCACCTGGGAAGTGGCACTTGGATTTTGATGTTCTATAAGAATTCCTCTTTCCTATGAGAAGTTTTTCGGGGTTCTCAAAGATTCCCAAGAAAAACAACCTCAGGAACGATTACCTTAGGAGATCCCTATTACCTCTGTTGCCTTGGGTTCCAGGGCAAACAGACTATTGAGCAGAAAATAGTAGACTTCTATATCCCCAGTGTCTAACAAAGCCATTCTAGTTTGTGAGAGGTGAAGTGTATGTATGTGTTTTGCTGACCTCTTGTGGCTAGTAAAGGAGCCCTCTCTGGGCCCCAGGATGGAGCACCCAGCTGGGAAAGAGTCATTGAGTCTATTATGCTTACTTGTGTTTGAAAGTGTCCAGTGTTATAGAAGCTACTGAATGCCATAAATCAGATAAAAGAACCCAGAGGCTTACATGCCTGAGAGTGGAGGGATACAGCTAGCATTCCCTCACAGGCACTGTAGACCTTCTCTGTGCAGGGATGGGCAGTGCAGATCATGGAAGAGTTGGTCCAAATCAACCTTGTAGGGTTGGCCACAAACAAGCTTGATGTGGCCTTGCCCCAGCCTGGAACCCAGGGTTCTAAATAGAGTAGGACCAAATAGAGACTGGGGTCAGCCTCCTTATCAGATTCCTGAAATCCAAATCTTGCTCTAGGTTAATGTAGTGGTGGGTAAGTGGGGGCCAGAAGGGGCTCTCTTGAACCTGGGAAGTGGAGCTGGGACTTTGGAAAAGAGAGGAATCTAAGAAATCTCTTTGGTATTCTCTTAGACAGTTTATGATACCTGGTTTATCACTTTCTACAACCTGGTCTACACCTGCCTCCCTGTCCTGGGCTTGAGTCTGTTTGACCAGGTAAGACCAGCAGCAAGCTTCTCTTCAGGGCTAAGCCCCTGGGCCCTTGAGGAGTATTCTCAAGAGTGGGGAGAACAACAAGAGCTGAGTTCTACAAAGTCAATTGTAAATGGAATAATTTATAGAGCAAGGAAGGGAGCTCATCACCTGGAGAAGTATCATGGGATAAAGTAAAGAATATTCCTCCCGGAGAATAATCATCAGTTTTAGAAATCCAAGTTTTCTATGTCAATTTTATTTTTATAAAAAGAAACATAGAAATTGTGCTTTATAGTAAACTGAGTATAAATAAAAGGTAGTAAAAGGAAATAGAGTTACTAGGGTAAGACTAGGTAAAGCAAGATGCTTCAAGAAAGGAGAGACCAAAAACAAAAACAAAGAAAAGAGAGACCCATACATAGATGATAAGATAAGCCAATGCAGGATGTTCTAATTGAGAGT